TAAATTAATAATATTAACCTCAATTTTGAGTTACAGTTGTTAAAAACAACTTATTTGTATATGTAAAATAAGTAAAAGTCATAAGTATTTTGATTAAATTGTGTTTAGTGTTCCAACCAAAAGTGACAGCTGTAAGGTACATCGTTTATACGTACTGTAAGTGTAATTCTTGTTATCCCTAAAATATTTTAAGATTTATCTTTTAAGTAAATGTTGCTCTGGATTTCATTTTACATGATAATTTAATTTGAGATCTGTAAATAAACCCATAGACCTATAAATTTACTTACTCTGCTTTTTTGGTTTTCTTTCTTTCTTTTCTTTTGTACTTAATAATAAAATGAATCTAACAATATTTAATCTTAATAGTAAAATGAATAAATGCAACGCCAAAATGCGCCAGTTGTAGAACCAACTTCAAATGGCGTTTCAAGAATTTAAGGCGTCAAAGGAACGGTGTGAACTGTTGTGTAAAGAAAGGGATGACAATGAAAAGAAAATAATAAATATAATTGCTAAAAATACTGACCTAAAAAGTGATATGGTTAAGATGCGTAAAAAATATACTTTTGATTTAAAAGAAAGGGATCAACTTCAGAGAACAGTTGATGAGTTTGACCAATGCAGCAAGGAATATGAGGAATCCCTCAGATTAATTGCTGCATTGCATTTACAACTAAGCGAGGCTAATGAACAGATTGTGCAATTAAAACAATACATAGAGAATTTGAATGCATCCCAAACTCAAAGTCTGTCCAGTGAGTTCATAGAATAAGAATCTTCTAAAGCATTGTAACCCTCCACAATAATCGATTTGACGGGTGATGATTATGTCACATCAAGAAAAGCAGCAAGGATTACCTGCAGTAGAAAAAAATTTTAAGAAATACATAAATATTAATAAATATATTAGGAAATTGCAAAAGTTAATTAAAAATGACTTATCTTACATAGTAGCGGATAACCGTAATATAGTATTATTTGCTGATGACACTTCATTAATTTTCAAATTAAAACGACAATTATTAAAATATGACGAAATAAATAATGCTATATGTAAATTAGTAAATTAGTTTAATGTTAAGTTATTAACTTGCATTTAAACGGCACTAAAACGAAATGTATGAAATTAATTACTCAAAATGTCAAACAATTAAATACTAATGTAATTTTAAATGAGGTGTAACTGAGTCTTGTCGATACCACCATTTTTCTTGGAATAACACTAGACGCGAAGCTTCAATGGAACCTCATATATCAAAACTAGCAAGCAGACTTAGTTTTGCAGCATATGTTGTAAAAAAGCACGAAAACAGCTAGACTAGTTTACTTTAGCTATTTCCATAGCATAATGTCGTATGGTATTATAATAAGGGGGCACTCGACTGACACTGAAATTGTTTTACAGAAGAGGGCCATAAGAGCAATCTTTGATTTTAAACCTAATCAGTCACTAAGACGAAAATTTAAGGAAATTAATATATTAACTTTGGCAATACATTTATGAAAATTTAATTTACGTACATAAAAATAAGTGATATTTATTCTGTAAATACTAGGGACATACACAAGCTAGTAGTACCAGTTAATCGAATCCACCGAGTCAGTAATTCATTGATGGGGCGATGTATACGCTTTTACAACAAAATCCCAGAAAATATACAAAATTTAACCTGCTCAAAGTTCAAAAACTTTATTAAACACAGTTTGTATAAAAAAGGGTTATTATAATATTAAGAAATTTATGGATGATTATAACCCCGGGAATGGGGTGATCGCTAACAAGCTATTTCTAATTTGTTGTGTTGTTATGTCGAGGTACATACATCTATCATCGATGTAAGAATTAAAATGCAGTTTTTTTTTATAGGATAGGGTGACACACGAGCACACAGTCCACATGATGGTAAGTGGTTGCTGTGGCCCATAGACATCTACATCTATCCTCGTTTGCGAATCAAAATGCAGATGCGTTGTCACTCGTGAGGACTAAGATGGAATGCCTTTTATCCAGTAAAAAGAGTCTCCTGTTCTCTACACTCACCATACGAAACGCAGCAGTGTTAAGCTGCTATTTTACGCTGGTATTCTGTGAGAGCGTGGTCCTTCCCCGGTCGAGCCGACCCATTCGTGCTACTACTAATATAGCTGCCGCATGGCTCTACCACGTATAAAACTGACTGACTTACTGAGAATTGAAAGTGAAATACAGCTTACTTAATATACAACCTAAAAACTATTATCAATTAACATAAATGCCTAAGCTAAAGGTCAGGTTAGACAAAATATTCGCATTTTATACACAACTTTGACGCGTGAATATTGATTCTTCTTGCAACTAGAACAAGCAATGTTTTTATATAAATTGTAATAACATCTTGTACTTTTATAATAACAATTTTTCGTTGTTACAACATAGTATAAAATGAAATCTAACTAAAACGTTACACACAATATTAAAAAAAAACTATAATGAAGAAAAACTAAAACTAAAAATTTTAATTGTCGTACAGTCCTACTCCCCGTGGTATCGTATCAAGAACGATGGCTGCGTTTCCTCGCTGAATAGCTATACTTAGCCTTTGAGCGAAAAAAGAACCAGCCCTCTTATCACCAGCACCGACGACCATCCGCGGATGCAGGTCCTTTAGGAACGTCACTGCACGTGGACCCCAACGACCGGTAGTTTCTATAGCAAATGGCACAAATATGTAATAATTTCTCAAAGAATTACTTAATCCAGCTACCTCTCATGCCGCCCCGGCTCTAGACGAGGTACCCTTGAGATGAGTGGCCGCAAAAGTGTCAACGCTAGAAGCATCCCACACTAGGGCTTTACCTCTCTCCCAAGAGACCAAAGTAATGCCGTCGGGTATCTTGCCATCGTCTCTATATCTCTCGTAAGGCTCTAAAATCGAGTGAACATTTATAGAGGCAAGAAGAATAAATTCGTTTAAAGAACTATGACGGGAAAGCCTGCCTGCACTTCTCTTACATGTGTACACATTCTATTCAGCGTGGTAGAGCCATGCTGCAGCTATATTACTGGTATAGTTGTAACACGAATGGGTTGGCTCCACCGGGGATGGACCACGCTCTCACAGAATACCAGCATCAAATAGTAGCATAACGCTGCTGTGTTTCGTACGGTGAGTGTAGAGAACCGGGGGCCCTTTTTTACTAGAAACGAAGCATTCCATCTTAGTCCTCAGGGGTGACAACGCATCTGCATTTTGATTCGTAATCGAGGATAGATGTAGATGTCTATGGGCCACACCAACCACTTACCATCAGGTGGACTGTGTGCTTGTTTGTCACCCTAATTTTATAAAAAAAGTCCGTGGAGCCCAAACTCGATGACGCTGCTACCACAGGGGTACTGGTGAAGTTGAAAAATTGCCGCTACTAGACGGACTCCTGCGGCGATGCGCAAGCTTTTCACTTGTCACTGTGGAAATTGTGAAACAAATCTTTCTGCACACTCAGTACCAACGGAATATCCCACTGTTTTTGTTGGTTAACTTCCAGTGGGATATTTTTGCCGGGACAGAGCATTAGCTATGTTTGCCTTTTCTCCGTAGCAAAGCACAGGTCTACTTTATTTTTTAAAATTATGTTACATAAGTCACTGACACTATGCACGGAAGCAAGGAAAGTAGGCAATGCATCGCAAGAAAGATTTATTAAAAACCTCTTCTTGAAATAATATATATACTCAAAAAGCATACGCATATGTACATTAAATACTTAATTAAATTCCTCGAATGGAGTTTTAAAATACTATAAATCGATCGAGATTAAATAATAGAATTTAATCGATGGGAATAAACTTTGACGCTCGTGTACTCGTTTTATAAGCAATAACCATAAAAAATATAAAAATTTTCGATAATATGAAAGGCATGTTAGTGAATCAGATTCTTCATCCCCTACATTTTAATTCGATCCTAAAATTCCGATGATAAGCAAAAACGTTTTAAGGCGAAGGTTACATCCCTTCACCGCTGCATACATATTTGTCCAGAACAAAGTAAACGTGCGACATTCGGTTGACAAAAAGTTACAAAACAATACAATACTAATTGTACAATAAGAAAACAAATAACCTATAAAACATACAGAGAATAAAACAAAAGGCGTTTTTTTTTTTTTACATATTTAAGTAAAAGTAAATTTGCAGCCTTTGTACATGTTACTCCTGGGTACAGGTGTCCTATTTCTGGGATGGTGTTAAATCAAGGAAATGTCCACCGTGCTGCCCCAACACATGGTAAATCTGCACTTAAAATTGCAATTAAAAAAATATTGGTTCTGGTGGGAACCGAACACATATTGCTCGCGTATTGTGAAATTTACCTGGGTTACAACAGCTATATCTAATGACAATTCTTTTTTTTATGTGGTAACTTTTTAGGCACGTTGGCCACTTTTGGGATGAGGAAAAAGCATTAAATTCGCGTGACGGTCACGCTCAGATACATAAAATTAGTGAAAATATTGATAAAAATCCCATTGATAAAAATTTATAAAATTAATATACATATAAATTTTATATAATATATGTATTTATAAATTTGTTTTTATGTAAAACAACGCAATAAGTGAATATTTTATTACAATATTAATACATTGGTAAAAATAATTTCTAATAAAAAATATTTCTTAACATCACAAAAATATTGTTTACAAGTTTGTGAAGCTAAGATTTAACTTCTGACGTGCAGTCCTACGACTGACAGTTTTTTTCTGGGGATTTAACTAAGTATATTGCCTGTTTTTAAGATTTTTCACTATCGCTTTTAGGCACATACAAGCAAGTGGTCAAAAATATATTTCTTTGATAAGGTCCGATCATAAAACCGGTTGTGGGCGTACAATGTCAGCTGTGAAGGCTCACTAAAGTGTATTCATTTAGAAGATATAAAGCAGTTATACTCAACGCTGAGCGCAGTCGTGAAGTTACTTTTAATTGCGACACATAAATAACAAAAAAGTTTAAAATGATTTTACATAATAGAATGTATTCTATTATTGTACTGTGTATTTTGTGCAGTTTTTGTGAGTTAACACATACTAAACTTGCACGTAAGTATTCAATTAATGTTTTTTTGTTTATCGTCTGCTTCAACGTTTCTAAGAAATTTGTAGAAACCCTATATATAATATTGAATAATATAATTGCCTTTATTAAAAATATTAGTCCAAAAGCTACACAAATAAAAATTTATTAACTATATAAGGAAAATACAACTAACAATTTATTTAAAAAATGTCGTAATTGAATTTCGATAGTGTGGTTTTAGAATATCAGTTTTTATTTTTATTGATGCGAATATTTCTTGGTACAAAAATCAGTTTCAATTCAGGATCTAAGCGCTCGTACCCACAGCAAAAAAAATTGCTACTCTATAACCCTCTCAGAATTGATAGGAAGCATTTGTCTAGCAGGAACTATATCGGATTTTATAGGTCTAAGTCCTTGCTATCAAAGTTTAATACCATTGATTACGACATGACAACAGTGCGGCGTAGTAGAGTACCAGCTTAATTAATTACTATTGCCCGAATTTCATACAAAGCTAGTATTTGTGCAAAAATCTTAATATAATATAGTTCCAAAAACCTTTACAAGTCTATTCCTATCATAATTATCGTATTAGCGTTAGATCCATAAATTACATAGAACGAGCTAGTGCTGCTGTATATGCGCGTATGATCGTTGCGCTTTAACATCGTTTGCGCCATTTATTATTTTCAGTCTTAAAATCAAACTGTTGAATATCATTACATTTTCACAAGTCATAACTATCAAAAACCTCAGCGTCGAAAACTTTTGTTTATAGACTCGGTGATACTCATAAATCATAGAATGTACATTAATTTTCACGAAATCGTGTGTTGATTTCGTGTGGTATTAGTACACAACAGAAGTAACTTCAATATAATTAAAATGAGAACATGATCAATGTAGTCGAAGTATATTAAATACGCTGTATTAAGGATAACTTAAAAACTACTTCGATCAGATCTTGATCAAATCTTGATGATGAGACCACATGAGAATTTCCAGCATTCAAATAAAAAAAACTTATCATCAAAATAGGTTCACATAGAAAAAAGTTCTGAGGCAAATTGAGAACTTTGTTTGTTCTTTGTTTTTCTTTTTTTTTTTGTAGTCGGTTGAAAATACACACTCAATGCTAAATGGCTTTTTGACGACTTAACCAGGCGGACCACTCGTTCCCGCAGGTCGGTCTGGTTGTCAGGACGAAAATTGCCGAGAAAGTGCACGGGTCTCTCTCTGCTTATGTTTGATTCATAAGTTAGCGCTGTTCACGTTTCTGTCAAGAAGTTTATTTGTTTCCCAAAGAACACAAACTCATTACACAGCGTCACTTGTTACAAGCACAGTACGTACTATCTGTTTTACGGCTGTCAGAATAACGACGAAAAATTAATACTTTAAACTTCTTTATTGATCTAAGTTTATGAGATAACGAAATTGTACTCAGCAGTTTATATGGAGAAACTAGAATACTTTACTTACTGCTTTGAAAAGAATCCAATGGTATCGATTTTTTATTTTACGATTTTCGTTAGAGATTAAGTAAATACATAAATAAGATGCTACTTGCGTAGACACTCTGGCGGCCTCTCATCTCAGGGGTACCTCGTTTAGAGCCGGGGCGGCTTCAGAGGCAGCTGAACTGAGTAAGTGGCGAAAATATGAGTCTCTGAGAGATGACTACATATTAGTGCCATTTGCTGTAGAGACTATCGGTCCGTGGGGTCCACGTGCGGTGAGGTTCCTAAGGGAACTCCATCCGCGGCTGGTCGTTGCTGCTGGTGATAAGAGGGCTGGTTCTTTCCTCGCTCAAAGGCTAAGTATAGCCATTCAGCGAGGAAACGCAGCCAGCGTTCTTCGCACGATACCGCGGGGAGTAGGACTATATGATAATTAAGTTTCTAGTTTTAGTTTTTTTTTATTATCATAGTTTTTAATATTGTAGATAAAATAAGTATTACGTATGTGATGATATAATTAGTACTGTTTTTAAATAAGTAGGTATTTTGCATTTTGAAAAAAGAGAATCAGGCTGAAATTTTCTTTTAGTATTAAAAAAATGTAAAATAATAAAATAATTTTATTTTATAAGCCTGCTAGTATTATGATAAAGCATTGATTGTTATCTCTGTCTATCTCCCAGTTAACAAGCTATTTTCACCTAATATATCGAAAAAATCGCCCGATGTTACATGGTAAATGCTAAATTAATGTTTAGCTTAACAAAAGCCTATTGACAATGTCCTCCAGACCGAATTTCGGTCACCGCAGCCAGTTTTTAACGAAGACTAGCCATCTGCACAGGACAGGATATGAGGCACGGCATAGTATTTCATTCACCCCCTGCACCATCCTGCGCCTGATATAACTCCGGTCGTGTCAAATTACCGTCCCATCGGACTATAAGAGTGAGGTAATAGAGAGTGCACCTGTGCTTCCTCATACACTTGGGCACTATAATCCTGCTATAATTCGTGGTACGCACGCAAGTCAGGTTTAGTCGAGTCACGTGGTCGGCAGCAAAGGAAAACATAACGTGAAAACTTCTAAAACATCATCAGAGTAGCACACATAGATGTAATGTAAATAGCGTTAAGAGCATAGAATAAAAACTTCAATTATATGACAACATTTAACAGTTTTATTCAAATAATTATTAATGAATAACCACACTTTTTTACAAAATTGACTTTTATAAATAGGTTACTTAAATAGGTTAAAAAAGACACTACTGTCTGTTCAAACATTAGCAATGTCGATGTAAGTCCTTGCAGTTAAATAATCAAATTAAAAAAAAAACGCATTTTATTTACTACAAATTCCATCTTAGTCCTCAAGTATAGTCGCGCACCTGCACTATTTGACTGCCTTGTTGTTTTTTTTATAGCATAATAGTGACAAACGAGCACACAGTCCACCTGATGGTAAGTGGTTGCTGCGGCCCATAGACATCTACATCTATCCTCTATTACAAATCAAAATGCAGATGCGTTGTCTAAGATGGAATGCCTCATTTCCAGTAAAAAGGGTCTCCGGTTCCCTACATTCACCATACGAAACACAGCAGCGTTAAGCTGCTATTTTACGCTGGTATTCTGTGAGAGCGTGGTCCTTCCCCGGTCGAGCCGACCCATTCGTGCTACAACTATACTACTAATATAGCGACCAGTGGTCGTCAACACGATAACTGGTCAAGAGGTTCCGCATTCAAAATCGTTTATTGCGTTTTTCTATCAAGAAATTCTCAATATCATGATGTTTCTAAATGTTTTCATACTTATTTGTATAAATATTTCTTGCTGATTTTTCCCAGGACAGAGGCTTTTTCCGAACCATTGGTAAAGCCTAAATTACTTTCTATTACTTTCTGCGTCCCTGGGCCGTCAAAGCCCTTTTATAAGTGTCTAAGGTAAACCAAAGGATAAAGTAGAGATGCTATGTGTGGAAAAAACCTTTCTTATAGTGTGTTGTTAGTTTTTTTATTAAGTTTAAACTTTGGTCCAGAATTTTAAAGTGAATTTTTTCACTTTTCTCATATGTTTTCTGCCTCATACTATTAGCAGAAGAGAGCTATTAGCAACAGTTTTAACTTCTAGTTAATCTCCTTCAATCGAGTCGATCTCTTTTCAATTCGTTGATGAAATTAAAGTATGCGTTACGTAGTTGCAACAATTGGATCATAAGGTGTTATTAATAAATTAAAATATACTAAGCTTGGAAAAATTAAATTAATTAAAAAATGGCTTCAAACTTATGTTTTCAATTTGTTTTTAATTTTAAATTTTTTTCAGCCGATTTTATTCGCCCGTGCAATGAAACTAGCAGAGAATGTTTGGTCAAGTCAACCCAAGACGCAATTCCAGAATTCGTCAAAGGCATGCCGAATCTTGGTGTCCCTCCGCTAGACCCTTTTACTATCGAAAAGTTGTCAATTCCTCTTAGTGGACTGAAAGTGACATTCTATCAGGGAAAAGTAACCGGCTTCAGGAAGTGTATTGTTGACAATGTTATGTGAGTCTCTTTATAATAAATATTTTTATCACTCTCACACTTATCAAAATAATTTATGACAATTCTTATATTTAACTAACGATTTACCCCGGTTTCACACGGGTGATTTCTGGATATCGACAACAGCGTAGCTAACCGGGTCCAAATAAAGCATCTAGGGTCCCTAGATACATCTTCAAACACATTATCAGATCATTTACTCACATTTCATCAAAACCGGTCTGAAACTCAAAAGCGGAGTTTTAGCGACACTAAAGGAGAGCAATTGATTTTTATATATGTATAGAGATAATAAACGCGTGATATTAGTACTACTTCGTCACGTATCTGATTGTCATGTTTCCTGTGCATAATGCAACGTGATAATAATATTAATATATAAAAGCTTAGATAGTGTTTGAAATTTCGATCACCCTGAAAAAGTTTAGTTTATAATTCACAGTTGAACTATAGTCGATCTTAATTAAGTATAGTTTCAATTTACTCTCAATCTAGCTAAATAGAATATGCATATTTACAACAAACATTTAGCCGAAAAAGGAAGACTTCACTTTGGGAATCCAAAAAAGGCGTTTCTACTAAGATTGAATCTCGTTACAAACGGATATCCTTAAGATTTAAAAATTATAAAATTAAAAAACATTTTTTTAATATTCGATAATTTTATATAAAATAACATTATATGCTTGGTATTAAAACAAACATAAAATATATTAATTTATTTATTTTTCTTGTGATGCTTCAAGAGTTGGACTTTAACTTCAACTTCAACCTTGTATACCTTGTTGTGTACAAGATTGAACATCAGATTTTCCGTCGTAGAATATATTACATATATGTCGACAAAAACTGTTATATTTTTAATTAACTTCAAAAGCTGGAACCAGTTTCTTACCTTGGTTAATAGTCTACTTTTACTCTGTCATGCGCGTTTTAAATTGTAATAAACAATTATAAATATTTTTCTTGTCAAAAATTTGCGAAACTGGAATATTTTATCGTGTAATATATATTCTGGGAAAGACTTAAGGATATTGATCATTTAACAAAATTCAAACCCCGGATCCTATTTAATTTCAGATCGGAGCTTGAGAAACGTCACTTTGTGTTAGAGTTTCACTGTAACTTGACCATCAAAGGAGCTTACGACGCCGTCGGAAAAATCTTACTCTTCCCTATTAATGGCGAGGGTGATGCAAAGATAAAATTGAGTAAGTATACATATAAAATAGGGGATAAGTTAAAAGATGTATTAAATTACAACCTTTTAAGAATAGACTTCTTTGTTTTAAGAAACTGAATTGACAAGCGATTTTAGAGTATGCATGATGCTAAATGGCTATTGTTACCGATAGAAACCTGCAATCAATTTTAAACAAAGAAGGCTGTAGATACGGACTAAGATGGAATGCTTTGCAGTCTGTAGTAAAACTGACTCTCTATACGCTTCAGACTGGAACACCACAGGCAGGAACTGCTATTTGACGGAAGAAATAGGTAGGAGGGTAGAGCTCTGACGGACTCCGTCTTCAAGGCAGAAAAAGAGCCTTACCAACTAGTAACATTAAAAGTAGTTTTATATTTTTAATGTCTAACAGAAAATACATTAACTTTTTTTTTATAAGAGAGGGGCAAACGAGCATGCGGCTCACCTGATAGTAAGTGACTACCGCCGCCCATGAACAACTGCAATACCAGGGAGGGAATTGCAGATGCGTTGCCGGCCTTTTAAAAAGAAGTACGCTCTTTTCTTGAAGGTCCCTAAGTCGTATCGGTCCGGAAAAATCGCTGATGGTAATCGATTCCACAAGGAAGTCGTGCGAGGAAGAAAACATCTTCTAAATCGCACAGTGGTGGAGCGCCAATCATCCAGATGGTGTGGATGGTATCGGGAGTTCTGCCACGATGTGCGTTCGTGAAATTTGGCGGCTGGGATTAATCCGAACAATTCCTCAGAGCACTCCCCATGGTAGATGCGAAAGAAAATGCAAAGGGATGCAACATCTCTTCGCAGTGACAATGAATCGAGCCGATTGGAAAGGGCTCGGTCGTCGACGATTCGAGCCGCTTTGCGCTGGATGCGGTCAAGTGGAAGGAGCTGGCACTGGAGAGCCCCTGCCCAGAGATGGGAACAGTATTCCATGTGAGGCCGAACCTGCGCCTCGTAAAGTTGCAGGCGGTGTGCCGGCATGAAATACTGTCCCGCTCTGCTGAGCACGCCAAGCTTTTTAGAGGCCAATTTGGCCTTTTCTTCCAAGTGACCACGAAACTGCACGTCACTCGATATGTCGACGCCGAGGATTCCGATACTGGCTGAGGCAAGAAGGGGAGTGCCTTGAAACTGAGGAGATACGACAAAGGGGTTCTTTTTAGCGGTTAACGCGCATACTTGTGTCTTCTGAGGATTAAACTGGACTAGATTTAGTCGCCCCCAATCCGAGACTTTGTCCAGCAAAGACACAAGTTTGTTCCGGTACTCGGCGACGTTTTCCCGAGAAATATTGGCACGGCCGGTGTATAGAGCATCACCAGTGCTGTCATCCGCATAGCAATGAATGTTACCAGTTAGCAACATATCATTGATATGCAGAAGAAACAGCGTTGGTGATAGCACACAGCCTTGTAGAACACCAGCGTTAATAGGCTTGTAGTCAGAACATGCACCGTCTACAACGACCTTGATGCTCCGATCTGCAAGGAAGCTGGTGATCCAATCGCACAATTTCTCGGGAAGCCCATAGGAAGAGAGCTTCGAAAGAAGCGCTTTGTGCCAGACCCGATTGAAGGCCTTCGCAATTTCCAGACTATCGGCCAACCCCTCCCCCTTGGACTCTACTGCCTCAGCCCATCTATGGGTCAAGTAGAGCAGAAGATCACCAGCTGATCGACCCCGACGAAAACCGTATTGGCGGTCATTAATCAGCTGGTGATCCTCAAGGTACCGGATGAGCTGGCAGTTAAGAATGGATTCCATTACTTTGGAGAACAAGTAGGTGATCGCGATAGGCCTGTAGTTAGACGGGTCTGAGCGGTCGCCTTTTTTAGGGATCGGGTGGACAAAAGCTGTCTTCCATGAGTCCGGGACTACGCCTTGGGAGTAGGAGAACAGGAAAAGACGCGTTAGGACCGGTGCCAACTCCGGAGCACACGTCCTCAGCACAATTGGGGGGATTCCGTCAGGCCCACTCGACTTCTGGATGTCCAGGGAGAGAAGTGCTTTGCGAACCGAGCGCTGTGAGAACAGCACATCCGGCATGGAGCACTCACACCGCGGGATGGTCGGCGGTGTGAGTGCTCCATGCCGGTGGCCGTCATCAAGAGTCGAGTTGGATGCAAAGAGGGAGCCTAAAAGGTCGACTTTGTCTTTTGCGTCTTGGGCCAGTGAGTCGTCCTCCCTGTGCAGAGATGGTAGTGATGGCTTACAGAAATTCCCTTGGACAGCCTTGGCGAGAGACCAGAATGCACGGGTTCCCGAAGGAAGGCGAACTAGTTTCTCGCCAATTCTACCTATGTGCTCTGACTTTGCCTTGGCAATAACTCTTTTGAAGGACCTGGAGGCGAAGATATACTTCTTTTTAAGTGTGCTGGTGTTTACATCCCGAGTCACCGAAGCTGCAGCCCAGGCTTGATAACACTCCTGCTTACTGCGTAATGCAGTCTTACAGGAGCGACCAAACCAAGGCTGAGATCTGCCTCCGATGGGTACCACAGATGATGGAATAAATAGTTCCATTCCCTGTAGCACCACATCAGGGACAGAGTCAGCAACAGCGCTGGGATCATCCGGTGAGAAGCAAACCCGCCCCCATGGGTAGGATGCAAAGAAAGACCGCATTCCGTCCCAATCCGCCGACCTGTAATGCCAAACACGGCGGCAACCTGCAGAACGCAACCGCGAGGGGAGCGTGAGTGGCACCACACTCCGGATCAGACAATGGTCCGAAGAGCCGAGAGGGGCATCGACAGAAACCTGATATCCGTCCGGATGAGAGGTCAGCAGAAGGTCCAACAGGGAAGGTGTATGATCCTCCAAATCAGGAATCCGCGTAGGCGAAGTAACCAGTTGTGTCAGACCATATGCCAAGGCAAAGTCATAAACAGATCTCCCCGCATGATCGGTTAAACGTGAACCGAGCCATTCGGCGTGGTGGGCGTTAAAATCGCCAAGGATCACGATCTCTGCGGATGGGACCTGTTGTAGCATGGAATCTGTAGCCATTTGGACGTGGTCGATGAGTCGGTCTGTTTCGGCATTACCGCTATGGGACCTATAGAGGCACCCGTAGACGCACGGATGGTCGTCGCTGTCTACGCGTAACCAAAGGATGGACATGTCCGAAACTTCAAGACTGCCGAGGCGTCGAGAACAGATGTCCTCTCTGACATACACGCAAACTCCAGCCCGAGGCACAAAGGAGTGTTCCAATTTGTACCCCGGGTAGGAGAGATACGAAATATCAGCCGGAGAGGAAACCTGCGTCTCGGTCAGAAAGAGCAAGGCCGGCTTCGCCGTCTGGAGATGGTAGTGGACGGCGTTTAGGTTAGAGTGAAGTCCCCTGATGTTGCAGAAATTCACGTAAGGCGACCCCTGCCACTACAGTGGCAGGGGTCGCAGTTATGTTTTGGAGCGGAATTTTGCCCCCCCCCCCCCCCGCAGAATACGCGGGGCAGCCTGAGCACCCACGCTCAGGATTGGAATAACATGGTCGTGGATGCTCAGCGAGGGATTCTTCAGGAGTACTGGTACCCTCCTGGGGTAGTCTATTGTGTAATTCCGCTAGTATGTTGATGGCGGGGGGGGGGGGGGGGGGGGGGGAATTGGGCCTCCGGCCACCTGCTCTCACCGGACGAAACGCAGAAGCAGAGCTTCTACTTCACGCCGGTATTCTGTGAGGTCGTGGTACCAACCCGGCTCGAGCCGGCCCATACGTGCAACAGCAAAAACTGCTGCGTGGCTCTACCACCGTTAAAACTGTTTTAGTTCTTATTTAGTTATTACTTTTCATTAAGTTTTATATATTTATTATACAGCCAGAATTATTTTATAGGATAAGGGTAACGAGCACACACTCCACTTGATGGTAAGTGGTTGCTGTGGCCCATAGACATCTACATCCATCCTCGATTACGAATCAAAATGCTGATACGTTGTCACCCGTGGGGACTAAGAAGGAATGCCTTGTTTCTAGTAAAATGAGTCTCCGGTTCTCTACACTCATCATACGAAACACGGTAGCGTCAAGCTGCTATTTAACGCTTGTATTCTGTGAGAGCGTTTTACTTCCCAGTCGAGCCGACCCATTCGTGCTACAACTATACCAGTAATAATATAGCTGCAGCATGGCTCTACCACGTAAAGTGGACAATATGTTAAATAATAATAATAATAATAATCTTTATTTGCGTAAAACATGGTATATATGTTGTTCACAGGTAAAAATCGAGCGCTCATGTTTTGCTTATTTTACATAGCATGCAAATATATTTAAACAATGTCAAATTTTCTTTAACTATTTGAAGTACATTAGTCACCTGATTTAGTTAACAAAGAGAAATAATATTATAATAATTAATTACATGTCAATTTCAATACCTAATAATAGTTGCACAGCTTAATCAAAGATATATTGTACAATACTATATTTTATTATTTTATATTTATTACAATAATTAAATGTTTTTTTTTAAATAAATGTTATCCAGTACATAATCTAATTTTTTTCTAAGAATTGTTTTACACTATAGAAATTATTTTCATTCAGCCATTTGTACAATTTCTTTTTGAACAATGTAATATTTAGGGTTTTAAGTTCGTCAGGGAGCTTGTTATATATTCGGACACACATGGTAAGGCAACTTTTGCCATATTTTTGTGATTTAGGTATATCCTTAAGTACTAGCTTGTGTGGGTCCCTACGTGAGCGAGTAGTCTGTACCTCACAAGCTTTTTCAAATAATTGTTTGTGTCTCTGCACAAAAACACAAACTTCTAAAATATATATCGTTGGTAGTGGCAGTATTCCAAGACCTTTAAATAGAGGCTGACACGATTCATCAGGTCGGACTCCGCAGATTGCCCTAATGCATTTTTTCTGCGCAATAAAAGCCCGATTCCAATCCGAACTATTTCCCCACATCACCAGTCCATAACGGAGTATAGACTCGGCATATGCTCGGTACGTCATAACAGATGTTTTTATGTCAGTCACTTTTTTTATTTGGTTGAGCGCGTAACAACATTTGTTTACTTTATTACAAACTTCATCGATATGTGCTTTCCAGTTCAGATTCTGGTCTATGACAACACCTAAAAATTTTGTTTTTTCTATTTGATTGATTTTTGTAATGTTTAGCTTGAAATTGTATTGTAAAGGATCCTTAATCAAATATTGTTCATATTATCTATGATTTTGTCTGCGATAAGTAACTTAATTTGGCAACTTTCTTTCCTTGTTCGATTAAAATTGTGTACTTATTCTAATAAAATTGTGTACAATATTATTTCTCATTCAGTTTTGTAAAAAGATGATATGGTTAGGATTGTAATGTGGACTATTTTATGTTTACCATCTTTTTTGAAAATTGTCTTTTTTGTCATTATTATCAAACAGCGCACTTGAAATTGTAGGTTACGCGCACTTGAAATTAATACTTGTTAGGTTTTTAAGAGATATTTCCTAAGAAATATAAGAATATATAAAAAGAATAATTATTACATTACTATAAAATAATTAAAATAACAAAAAATTAATTAATACATGGCTAAAAATTTGTTTTACTTTATTTTTTAGCAAATCTGAGAATGAAGGTTGATATTAATACAAAATACATAAAAGACAATAAAGGAGTGAACTACTTTGGTTTAAGGAACTATAAATATTCATTCGACTACGGAGATAGAGTTACGTTTGACTTACAAAATCTTTTCAAAGAAAGTAAACAATTAAGTAAGTATAGTGTGTAAATTTTCACACATTTTTATTATTTTTGTTTCTACAATCAATTTGGATAGAAATCTACATATTGTTTATTACACAGTCTTAAGTATGTTTATCGTATGTTGTTTCTACACATTCTATATAATTGTAAACGTAACGAATATTACATATAATGTATGTAATGTACGTATAAACTTATTCGTTTAGATTGACATTGACCTTCGGATGTTTCGATTACATCAAATCACGTTGATCCTTGGCTTAGTTTAATATTGATTATATTCAAGTTTTTAATAATTAAATTGATGCCATAAATGAATTAATTTGCATTACAATATTTACTATTTTAAGTCTTCTACTGGACTAAGACCTTTATAAAGATGGTACTATTAGGAATGCATTCGTTGAAAGAGTTGTTACGGTCCACTTTGGCATAAAATAAAGTGCCAAGAGCCCAAGAGTCACTTTATTTTGTACTACACTAATGTATTGGTGAGTAGTGAAGCCGGCACTTTCACGCTTTCGTTATAATGCTGCTTTTCATCACCGGCCTGTGTTAAGGTCTGAATCTTCGAATTTGTTTTCCAAAGCAAATACAATAGTGTACCAAATGCTTTCATTGCAAAGTCACTGCCTGTTCACTGTCGCCAAATTTATTATTCAGAATTATTATCTTTACCAAGAGTTCATACCACCGCATATAATAAGCTAGGTAGCAATTACGTAAACTGAAACAGACATTCGCAACCTTGTAATGTCATGGCAAACTAGCTGGTTCTGATATTATATAATATACTTGTTGACATGATAAGGTACTTTAAAATAAGTAGCTTTACATTATATATACAATACAATAAATCCTGAATATTTATTTTTATCCTAAAAATATCATTTACTATCACATATCTCGATAATTACGTATTTACGTGAAGCAAAAATTTATTTTAGGAATTATGTATGTATGAAATATAAATCGGTGTGGGTGCTATCAGTCTTCCCTCACAATCGACTTCCTATTTGTAATGTCCATTCTACTTATTAACTATCTGCCAAATCGATAGTAATCCAAACTTTATCATATGTTTAATATACAATTACGCATCATACAAATATAAAACTGATTTGGAATCGATAACATCATTTTTTGCTTTATGTGAGACAAAAATAGAATTCTCTTAAAACTTGAAACTATGTTGAAACTGGGACGTTTAAAAATAGCTCACATTATAAGAAATTCCAAATATATATAAATATCATTAGTTAAGTAATGGAGTGCCGAAAAAACCGAAATAAAATATAACTTCATTTTTTTTAATGTACCAACTCATTTTACATATCGTTATAGGTGACACAGTATTGGCGTTCCTTAATGAAAACTGGAGAACAGTCTCTGAAGAATTTGGAAAACCAATAGTAGACTATGCTGTTGAACTGGCCATTAGAACAATCGAAAAATTCTTTCTTGCCGTTCCTTATGAAGAACTAATTAATGTACCTATACCATCATGAGTAGATTATTATTTATAATTAATATAATTATTTATTTTTCATGCATTTGTTTTATTTTCATTCATTCATTAGCTACAGCCAATGAAGTAACTGTTACCGTATTGTGGCGGTGTAAGAATATCCACTACCCTATATCATCCCGAGAATGTCGTAAGAGGCGACAAAAAAAAATCAGGAGATGGGCAATCACGCCTTCCTAATAACGACTAAAAATAAAAAATAAACTGCGGTTGCCAACCCACTTGCCATGCGTGGCAACTATGGTAAATATTCCTCTTATGAGGCAATTTATGGGAGAGACCTGTGTTCATTGTAAACTTTAATAGGCTGTAACGGTATTCATTACAGTCTATCAAAGTGAGGATATTTGTTATAGTTTCCAGGCTTGGTAGGCGGTCTAGCAACCACAGTTGTTTTTTTGCCATAATAAAACTAACAATCACTTATTCCCAATTATCAAAACAGGGCACGTTTACTACCGTTAGAAAAGTGAATTTGCTACAGTTTTTCTTCGGTTTTACGCACAAAGGTAACTTCGAAAGAAATTTGGTCATCCTTATTTCCGGACAATGCAGACGAATACAAATTTGGAAAAACAATTTCGTGTAATCGGTCACGTGCTGTAGGGACTGTCTTTTCACGCCAATGACATCACGAATTCAATTTAAAAATTCACGGTTGGTGTCGACACCAACTAAGATCAGACAGTTATTTCGTAATTTGGATTTAAGCTATTTTTTCTTACGGTTTTTTATAAGAAGGTGGGAAAACGAGCATGCAGTTCACCTGATGGTAAGTGACTACCGCCGCCGATGAACAACTGCAACACCAGGGGAATTGCAAATGTTTTTCCGGCCTTTTAAAAAAGAGAAGGTCTTATCTTGAAGGTCCCTTAGCCGTATCGGTCCGGAAAAATTGTTGGTGGTAGTTGATTTACAAGAAAATTGTACGAGACAGGAAACTTCTTGTAAAGCGCACAGTGGTGGACCGCCAATCATTCAGATGATGTGAAATTGAGCTGCTCGAATTAGTCGTAGTGGTAAATGCGATAAGATCATGTGGAAGGAGCTGGAACTGGTGTGCTCTAGCTCAGAGGTGAGAACGTTATTCCATGTGATGCCGAGTTTTCCCATGAGATGCCGAGTTTTCCCATTGTAAAGTTGTAAGTGCCGGCATTAAATACTGTCCCACTCTACAAAGCACTCCCAAGTTTTTTAGAGGCCAATTTGGCATTCCCTTCCAAGTGAGTGCAGAACTTATCGTCATTCGATATGTTGACGCCGAGGATTCCGATGCTAGCTAAAGCAACGAGGGGAGTGCCTTGAAACAGAGGAAATACGTCAAAGGAGTTCTCTTTAGCGGTAAATGTGTAAATTCTTTTCTTCTGAGAATTGAACTGGACTAAATTTTGTCGCCTCCAATCCGAGACTTAGTTCAACAAAGTCTGAACTTCAGACTCAACGACGTGTTTCTGAGAAATATTAGCACGGCCAGCGTATAAGGTATGGCCAGTGCTCTCATCTGCACAACAATAAATGTTACTGGTTTGTAACATATCGTTGATATGCATATGGAACAAGGTAGATGATAGCATGCATCCTTGTCACACCTCCTTAAAACACCATCATTCACAGGCTTGGAGTCGAAGTAAGCATCGTCAATTACGTCTTTAATGCGTCGATCTGAAACTGGTGTTCCAATTGCATTACTTCTTGGGAAGCTCATAAGATGGAAGCTTCGAAAGAAGCGCTTTGTACCAAACCCAATCAAAGTTTTTTGCTATATCCAAATTAAACCGCCAAGACTTCCCGTTGGACTTGACCGCCTGTGCCTACCAGTGTATTAGCAATACAAGAAGATACCGTCGTTAATCATCTGGTGCTCCTAAAGATACCCTATGAGCTGGCAGTTAATAATGGACTCCATTATTTTTGAGAATAAAGAGGTGGTGGCAATAGGCCTGTAATTGGACGTTGGCTGTTATTTTTGTGCTTGAAATTCCATGAGTTTGGGAATACATTATAAATTTTATAATTCAATTTTAAGAATATTTTTTTAGATTTGTACGTCAAATCTCCAAAACACTTTAAAAAAAACGTTAACCCTACACTAGGATTTACTCCTGTATCATGGAGGTAGTTAGACAAACATAGATTGCACGAGGACAAACATCCAGACCCGGCATAATTATTTGTAGGCCATACAAATACCTGTTCCGTGCGGGATTCGAACTGGCAGCCCCCAGCGCAACAACTCATTGCTAAGCCACTGCACCACGGAGCCGTCAAAACACTTTCCGCCGCCTACTATAAATATTAGATTCCGTCGTGACGTCACTGATAAAGTAAACAAGCTAATGTCACAGAATAAATATAATAGTACTACGTACTAATGTGTTATGTGTTAATTAGAAATTTTCAAGTTATTGTTATTATAGTTTTTAATATTGTATATAATTAAGTTATTATCACGATTGTTGACTTTTATTCCGTATGATATTGAAATAGCATATTGGAAAACGGATCCGTAAAAACAAAAAGTAATAATCTACCAAGGATAAATACATTAATAATGGCAAAGTTTCCGTTCGTCGGTTCCGTTTTTTATCCTGCCGAGTTGAGGAATGTTAAAACATCAATGTAAATACCTTTTAACAACTTAGTACTAGTTTATTCGATAACATAACACCAGTTCAGAAGGTCTTTTGATAATACGTACTTAGTTATATTTATCTATGATTACAATCATTAGCAATCAGTTGTATCTAAGATAACTTAATCTTTTACTAGCAATACCTATCACCTCATGGTGCGTTGTTTTTTATAAACGATAGTCAAATATAAGTCACACTTACATCAAAGTGATCTTCACAGACATTGCCAGTTTTAACCAAGTATTTCTCATATTTAAATCAGTTGACACTTCAATCCATAACATCCCCGGCGTTCTTATGCTCCTATTTTTGCATTCAGGCATAACACACCAATGATAAAGATGATAACTCATCAAAAATCCAAAAATATCTTATTACTTTGCATACTCATTTTATTTACTAAAAAAAAATGAGTATGCAAAGAAATAAGATATTAAAATTTAAAGCGATAGATTAAAAATAATTTTATATGGCACTATTCGGTTTAAAAAACTATTATATAAAAATTATAGTGGTTTATTATCACTTTAGGATTCATTTAAAACACTATTTGAAAATGTTTGTAATACCCTAATGAACTGGCTGCATTCAATCATTTTGCCTGCATTTTTACGTGGTAGAGCCATGCTGCAGCTATATTACTAGTATAGTTGTTGCACTAATGGGTCAGTTCGACCGGGGAAGGACCACGCTCTCACAGAATAGCAGCGTAATATAGCAGCTCAATGCTGCTGTACTTTGTATGGTGAATGTAGAGAACCGGAAACCCTTTTTACTGGAAACGAGGCATTCCATTGTAATCCTCACGAATGACAACACATCTGCATTTTGATTCTTAATAGAGAATAATGTAAATGTCTATGGACCACAGCATTCATTTATCATCAGGTGAACTGTATGCTCGTTTGTCACCCTTATTCCATAACAAATGTGATCTTGCTAAAATTTGCGAAATCGCAAATTCAAAAACCTAAGCTTTGTAACATACAACGTATTTCGGGTTCAGGCGCTCCATAGGAACATAGTCGAGCCTTTAATATAACTGGTCCTGCTCAAAGAGAATCGATATTCATACCAAAAATACTACTCATTTTATCAGACATTAATTTAACTCAAAAGGTTACAGTTTCCCATAAATGTGTATTTTGCAATGGCCAACAATATATAAATAAACAATGACACGAAAGATATATGGATGCAAATTATGTCGCTTAATAGTCATTATATAGAGTGATTAGAATAAAATTTACTTACATACTCGTATAATAAGTGAACAGCAGATATTTAATAATAGAACTTAATTTTGCCTTATATTTATGCGAATATTACTTATTAAATTAAATAAATAATAGAATCAGGAGTTACTGCCTTAAAATCCAGCCCGTGACTGGCCTAGGCCTCTACCGGGGCAAGAAGGGTTTGCCTAAATCATTACGCTTGGTAGGCGGATGGACGACTTCAAAATGGCACCTTTGACAGTACAGTCCTTCCCGTTCTGATTTTACGTCTGTTGTAATATGATGATTATTTCTCGGACGCCATGAGTTTTCTCTGAAATTTCCCATAGTTTCCTTTTACGATACCTACGGGTCGAAATGAGGTGATGGATTTTCTTACGCCAACACTACCACCACGTGGCAGTAAAATATTTTTTTATTATAGAATAAGCTTGGCATACGAGCATAAAGTCAACCTGATGGTAAGTAGATGCTATGGCCCATAGACATCTACATCTTTTCTCGATTACAAATCAAAATGCAGATGCGTTGTCACCCGTGAGGACTAAGATGTAATGCCCCGTTTCCAGTAAAAAGGGTCTCCGGTTCTCTACACTCACCATACGAAACACAGCAGCGTTAAGCTGATATTTTACGTTGGTATTCTGTGAGAGCGTGGTCCGTCCCCGGTAGAGCCGACCCATTCGTGCTACAACTATACCTACTACTAATATAGCTGCGGCGTGGCTTTACCACGTTTAAAATTTATCCTCGATAGTACCAAAATGCAGAATGCGTTGTCATCTATGGGGACCAAATGGACTGCCTTGTTTCTTGTAAAAAGATTCTCCGGTATTCTACACTCACCGCACGAAATACGCATTTAGCTGCAATTTTACGCTAGTATTCTGTGAGAGCGCGGTCTTTCCCCGGTTGAGTCGACTTGTACATGCTCCAACCATAATATAACTGTAGCGTGGTTCTATCACGTACAAAAAAAAACAAAATTTGAAATCAAAAGTGTTAACAGCTCAAGGTGCGTGATAGATTTCGTAATGAATTAGACCGCATTAGAACCAGAGTAAGCGACATAGCCCAAGGATCAATAAGATAAAGTGGCATTGCACTGG